GTCAGCTTTCCTGCTCCTCTGATGCTGCTTGGCCTGCTGTGTTCTTCCAGCTCTACACCTTGCCATCTTTTTTTAGATGTAGACAACTTGGTTCAATTGAATCTCTTAATCAATATAAAGAGTGTAGGGGCATTCTTAAGAGAGAAATCAGGAGGGGATATGAGACAACATTGGCAGATAAGGTTAAGGATAATCCAAAGAGATTCTACAAATACATCAAGTGCAAGAGGATAACTAGAGAGAGGGTTGGGCATCTTGAAGATCAAAGAGATCATCTTTGTGTTGAATGCCAGGAGATGGGAGATACTAAATGAATATTTTGCATCAGTTTTTACTGTGGAGAAAGAAATGGAGTCTAGAGAATGCAGAGAAATAAGCTTTGATGTTTTAAAAACAGTTCACATTACAGTTTGGGAGGTCTTAGAGAATATAAAGGCGGATAAATCTCCGGAACCTGATCTAATGTATCCAAGAATGTCGTAGGAGGTAAAGGAGGAAATTATGAGACCCCTTGCAGAAATATTTGCATCATCTATAACTATGGGTGAAGTGCCTGATGACTGCAGGGTGGCTAATGTTGTACCTTTGTTCAAGAAAAGTTGCAAGGAGAAACCAGGGAACTACAGGCCTGTGAGTCTGACTTTGATTGTGGATAAATTTTTGGAGGTGATTATAAAACAATCGGATTTATGGACATTTAGAGGCAAAAATTAGGCAGGGATAGTCAGCATGGCTTTGTGCAAGGAAAAGCGTGTCTCACAAACTTGATTGAGTTTTTTGAGAAAGTTACCAAAAAGGTTGATGACAGCAGAGCAATAGATGCTGTTTACCTGAATTTTAGTAAAACCTTTCACAAGGTTCTGCATTAGGTCACTTGGATTCAGATGAGCTTGCCAATTGGATTCATAATTGGCTTAATGGCAGGAGACAAAGAGTAATGGTGGAGAGTTGCTTTTTGGACTGGAGGCCTGTGACCAGTGGCGTTCCACAGGGATCAGCTCTGGGTTCACTTTTGTTTGTTATTTATATAAATGATTTGGATGAGAATATAGAAGGCATGGTTAGTAAGTTTGTGGATGACACCTAAATTGGTGGCATTGTACACAGTGAAGAACATTTTCTAAGATTACAAAGGGATCGTGATCAAATGGGTCAATGGGCTGAAAAAATAGCAAATGGAGTTCAATCTGGATTAATGCAAGGTATTGCATTTTGGTACAACATGCGAAGGTCAGGCTTATACAGTTAATGGTAGGGCCTTGGGTATTGTTGTAGAACAGAAGGACCTAGGGGTGCAGATACATAATTCTTTAAAGTTCGTGTTGCATACAGACAGGGTGGTTAAAAAGGCATCTAGCACGCTTGTCTTCCTTGCTCAATCCTTTGAATATAGGCATTGGGATGTTATATTGAGGTTGTACAGGACATACGTGAGGCCTCTTCTGAAATACTGTGTCCAGTTCTGGTTGCCCAGTTATGGGAAGGATATTATCAAGCTGGAGAGGGGTCAGAAGAGATTTACCAGGATGTTGCCAGGTATGGAAGGTTTGAGTTATAAGGAAAGGCTGGATAGACTGAGACCTTTTTTTCACTGGAGCATAGGAGGTTGAGAGGCGACCTGAAAGAAGTTTATAAAATAATGAGGTATAGATAGACTTGATGGTAGTTGTCTTTTCCCTAAGATGGGGAATTTCAAGATTAGGGGGCACATTTTTAAGGTGAGAAGAGAGAGATTTAAAAAAAGACATAACAGGCAAATTTTTACACAGAGGGTGGTTTGCATGTAGAATGAACTTCCTGATGAAATGGTGGATGCAGGTACAATTACACTTAAAAGACATTTGGATAGATAAATGAACAGGAAAGGTTGGGAAGGATATAGGCCAGGAGCAGGCAGGTGGGACTAGTTCATGTTTGTGAATATGTTTGGCATGACTTTACGACTGTACCAGTTTTCGTGGAGCTAAGAAACATCAAAGGACAAAAAAAAGCACTGGTTGACAGTTATTCAGCTTCTTTACAAACATGGAAAGAGGGAGACACAGTGCACCTTTGTACCTTCCAGAGCAAGCTCAGACACGGGCTTGATTGCCAAATTCATGCGAAACATCAAGAACACAGTGCAGTGAGTATTGGATTTGGGAGGTCATGTTGTGGCTGTACAAGACATTGGTTAGGATACTTTTGGAATATTGCATACAATTCTGGTCTCTCCGCTATAGGATGGATGTCGTGAAACTGTGTGGAGTTTCCACGTTCTCCCCGTGTCTGCTAGGGTTTCCCCCGGGTGCTCCGGTTTCCTCCCACAGCCCAAAGACGTGCACGTTAGGTGGATTGGCTGTGCTAAATTGTCCAGTGTTCAGGGATGTGTAGGTTAGCTATTGGATACAGTAATACAGTAGCAGGGATGGCTCTGGGTGTGATATTCTTCAGAAGGTCTGTGAGGACTTGTTAGGCTGAATGGGCTGTTTCCATACTGTGGGGATTCTATGATTCAGAAAAGATTTACAAGGATGTTGCTCGGCTTGGAGGGTTTGAGCTATAGAGAGAGGCTGAATAGGCTGGGGCTATTTTCCCTGGATCATTGGAGGCTGAGGGGTGACTTTATAGCAGTTTATAAAATCATGAAGGGCATGGATAGGGTAAATAGACAATGTCTTTCCCCCGGAGTGGGGAATTCAAGACTAGAGGGTGTAGGCTTAAGGTGAGAAGGGGAAGATTGAAAAGGGTGCAAAGGGGCACCCTTTCTCATGCAGAGGGTGGTGTGTGTATGGAATGAGCTGCCATAGGAAGTAGTGGAGGCTGGTACAATTACAACATTTAAAAGGCATCTGGATGGGTATATGAACAAGAGAGGTTTAGAGGGATATCAGCCAAATGGGACTAGATTTATTTCGGATATGTGATCAGCCTGGACGAGTTGGACCTAAGGGTCTGGTTCCATACTATACATCGCATTCTGGCATGACCTAATCATTTGACTGAGTAAACCATGAGGTTTGGTGGATTGTACCCTGAAGATTAAGAAGCTTCCATCACAATCTTGCAATTTCTTCACGATGATATATTGTTTAGTTACAGATCCAAAACAGGCACCTTCAAAATCTGGACTGAGGTCAGGCAAGACTATGAAAGCCCCATAACATTTACCATCGACCTGATTGTAGTAATTTACCTCATGAACGATCAATTACCCTGACAGCATTAATCACTGCTTAAATGGAAAAGCTTTTAGCCTCAGTCACTGTCATGCCAAAATTGAATGACAACCATGTACATAATCTGCAGTGCTGTTGGTCTTTTTGCACACCACTCTTGATTTGTCCTCAAAGGTACCAAGGCAAAATTCCTTTTGGGCTCTTGTGGTGCAGTGGTAATGTCCCAACTCTAGGTCAGAAGGTCTGGGTTCAAGTCCCATCTGCTCCAGAGGAATATAAGAACAGTTCAAATAGGTTAATTAAAAATATCTACAATGGGAAAAAGTTGCACTTCCCACATTTTGACAGCCACCAATGTCAGAGATCTGATACCCATAGCTATAGCAACACAACCTTCAGCTTAGCCCTGTATCACTGGAATTTAGAAAAACAAGGAGCAATCCTATTGAAACATAAGATTGTGAAGGAACTCGGCAGAGTGGATTGAGGGTATTTTCACTTAAAGGAAAGTCTAGAACTGGGGTCATAGTTTATAAATTAGAGGTCTCCCATTTATGACTTGAGATGAGGAGAAATATTTTTTCTGAGTGTTGTCCGTGGAATTCCCTTCCATGGAGAGCAGTGACAGCTTTTTATCAACTAAAGGAGTCAATGGTTATAAATGGGGAAAAAGGGGAAGAGGTGGTGCACACAGGAAACACAAGTGACTGGAAGGAGTTTGCTTTCAACTGTTCAAATTGGCAACAACTTGTCCAACAATGTGCATCACGCTTTGAGTCTAAAAGCATTATTGATGAGGCAGAGGAGCAGCAGAGAAGGGGAAAAGAAACCAATCCTGCACTAAGGATCTCACCACCCTGTGGGTTATCCTGCCCCATGTATCCAAAGATTTGTTGGTTGAGAGTGAACTTCCATGTCAAATTTGCAAGCACAAGCAGACCTCTCTGAATCAAAAGACAGCTGATGATAGGTTCTTAAATCTGACTAAAGCAAACTATATGTATAAAGGGGTGAGTTGGTTAAGGTAGATTGGAAGAATAGGCTCAAAGATATGTAGTTAAGTAGTGGTAAACATAGAGAATTAATTCACAATGTACAATAAATATGTATTCCTTTACAGATAAAAGCATGACAGCAAAATGGCCAACAAGTTAAAGTATTACATTAGAGAAAAATACTGACAATGTTGCCAAAAAGAACACTGAAATCTAAGGATTGGAAGAACGAGAATTCAACAATACAGCTTCAAACGCAATGAAAGACAAGGTTTAATTAGGACAATAAAACCACATACCAAATTACCTTCCGTAAACATTGAATTTGACATTTCTTCTCTTTCGATATTCAAGTCGAGTAAAACTATAATTACAAGTAACAGCCAGCACAGGTGTAATTTTAGTGAGATACCACCATACACGGCTACCACTTCCTATTTCTCTCTGTCAATGTACAAAACAATCCAATTCTTATCAACGTACACAATTTTTTGGAAACAGTGTGAACAGCTTGCCCTCTTGTGACGGCTCAAAGCCATATTTTTCAAGGTTGTTCAGGTCAAAGTTCCCTTCCTGAAAATCCTTCTCTATCTGTGGAGCAACGGTTTCTGTGAAGAGTTTCTTGGCTGTCAGGGGTTGTTCTGTTCCTTGTGGTGCTTTGTAAGACACATAGGGTTTTAGTTTAAAACCTTCTAAATTGGGCACGACCAACTCAGGCACCATTTTCCTGATTTTGATAAATTTGCCACTGGAAGTAATTATCCCCGCTGATTTGGCTCCACGTGATTTGTAGAAACTGCGGGGTCCACGCTTGCTTGTGAGTTCTGCTGTCCGGTCAGCTCCACGCACTAAACCCCGAGCCAGATTCGATAGTAATCCCATGCTCGACTAAACCTAAAAAAGGGAAAGATAAAAAAAGAGAATTGGGTGATCTGAACAGCTTCTGGGACTAAAGGCATGGCCTTGAATAAATATCCCCCCGGAGTAGTTTGTTGTGTTCCCAACTCAAATTCAGAAAACTTGCTCAAAGAAAGGAGTGGGGCAACAGTAACATTCAGAGAAAGAGCAAAAGAGAAACGGAGATTAACTGGAGAAAAAAATCTCCAAAGACAACTCGAGATAACAAGGTGTAGAGCTGGATGAACACAGCACGCCAAGCAGCATCAGAGGAGCAGGAAAGCTGACGTTTTGGGCCTAGACCCTTCTTCAGAAACTCCACAGTTTTCACCCAAGTTAATCCTTTGATAGTCTGGCGTAGCGTTCATATGATACCAGAATGTGGTTGACTCTTGTATGTAATCTGAAATAGCCTATTAAATGAGCAAGCCATTTAGTCGTACCAAACCATTACAAAGTCTAAAAGAAAAATACTACATTTACAACAGCAGTGCAAGTGTATTTACATCACATGAACTGCAGCATTTCAAAGTGGCTCACTACCACCTTGCAAGGAACATTTAAGAATGATCAATAAATTTGGCCTCACCAGCACTATTGACATCCCGTGAACTTATCAATAAAAAGATGGATGGTCAGAGCCATGACTACTAGAATTTCAAAGTCACAGTGCAGGAGCCTGCTCCAGTGACTGTGAGGAACAGCTATACTGTTCCAAGTCAGGATGATGTGACTTAGAAGACAACTCATGTATTTACTGTCCTCATTCTTCCAGGTATTAGAGTTTCTGGGTTTGGAAGGTGTTGTTGAAAGAGCATTGATGAGATGCTGTATCTTGTAGATATTTCACTGTGCAGTCATGACATGCCAGTGAAGGGAGAGAATGTTTAAAGTTGGTTGTTGGCCTCATCATAGAGCTTGCTTTTGTGGTGGATGATGCAAACTTATTGCAGCTGCACTCATCCATGGGGGATTCAGCAGTGATATAATTTAGCGTCAAGCTGAGATGTTCAGATTCTCTCGTTGGAGATGATGATTTCCTGGCACAAATCTTACTTGCCACTTATCAGCTAACCCAAGGGTTCACAATCCTTTCAGTAAGCAAAGAAAAATCTCAACTCAGACCTAATAGGCATCCTCCTTCATTTTAAAATGTGCTCTTTAGTTCTAGACTCCCACCTAGGGGAAACAGCTTACCTGCATATACTCCATATATCCCTTTAAGCATTTGTTAAGTTTCACTAAGATCACCTTGCCCAATTTTTCTTCATTGGACAGTCCCACCATCCCAAGAACATGCCTGGAGAACCATAATTTTCCCAAAATAAGGAAACTAAAACTGCAGTGCTCCAGGTGTGCTCTAACCAAGTCTTATACAATAAGACTTCACTTTCCTGTACTCTCATGCTCTTGCAATAAAGATTAAGATTCTGTTAGCCTTCCTAATAGCTTGCTGACCTTGCATGTTAACCTTCAGTAACTTATCAACAAGGATATCTAGGTCCTTCTGCTCATCGACACTTCCTTACCTCTTGCCATTTGGGAAGAAATCAACGCAACAGTTCCTCCTACTGAAATGGGCAAGATTACATCTTCCACATAATATTCTAACTCTCACGTTCTTGTGAATTTACCAATTCTATCCACATCCTTCTGAAGGCGCTTCACATCTTCCTCATTCTGCTCTGCTCTCTCTCCCCCTTCCCTTCTCCCTGTGAGCACAGGCCATAATCCCCCGTTCTCTGTCTCTGTCTCTGTCTCTGTCTCACCGTGAGCCTGGGTGTAGTCCTCACCGCCGAGCCGAGCCGGTACCGTACCCACTACCCTAAGCCCAGCTGCCCCAGGCGGCACCTCTCACCATGAGCTGCTCCAGCTTCTCGCTCTCTCACCCACGGACGCGCACCACGCAGTAAACCACCCCATCATTGGCCTCCGGGCTGTGGCCCAATGGACATGCGGGTTGTTGCGGCAGTCTGTGGGAGCTGGCCAATGAGAAGCCGCGGTACAACAACAGGGCAGTGTTGGGTCAGAGGGCGTGGCCATGGCCCCTCCCCCCTCCCGGGGAGCAGGGGGAGCGGGAGGAACCGATAACCTGCTCGCGGTGTGGCCCAGTAACTCGGGCTGGACTGGAACTGTACACCACAGCGGCCATGGAGACCGGGCCGCCAGACCCAGAGATGATGTTTGACCCAGGTACGGATTGATGTTCCTTCAAAGCTCAGGCCTCAGCTTGATGCCAGGAATGGTGCAGCTAAACAACCCCCCCCCCTCCTCCCTCAGGGCCGGGTATAACCACCCCCCGCCCCCATTCCCTCAGGGCCGGGTGTGAACCCACAACCCTCTCCTCCCCTCAGGGCAGGGTATAACCACCTCCCTCCCTCCCTCCCTCCCTCAGGAGTTCTGAGGAAGGGTCACCAGACCCGAAACGTTAACGCTGTATTTTTCCTTCACAGATGCTGCCAGACCTGCTGAGCTTCTCCAGCAACTTTGTTTTTGCACCCCCCACCTTTCGGGGCTGGCTATGAACACCACACCCACCATTCCCTCATGGTGGTTGTGAACCCCCCATACAGCTGAGATTACCCCCTCCCTCAGATCTTGGTACAACTCCTATCTCATTCAAAGCCAGGTAATACCCCCCCCATTTTTCCCTCCCTCCCTCAAAGCCGGGTATAACCCTCACCCTAACCTCAGAGCTGGGTATAAACCCCTGACCCCCCTCAGATCTTGGTATAACACCCTCCTTCCTATGGAACCAGGTATAATCCCCACCCATCTCAGACCAGATGTAAACTCTGCCCCCTTCCTGACCTGGTGTATACCCTAACTCTGTCTCTCATAACTGGGTATATCCCCCTATCTCAGATCCATGGATTACCACCACCCCGCCATAACCCCCAGTCCTTCAGGTCTCTGTATAAGCCCCTCCTCCCTCGGAGCCAGATATAAGCCCTCTTATTTTTCAGTATAACCCCCACTTGCCTCAGACCTGGGTATAAATCCTCCCTCCCCTCCTCTGACCAACCTGAATATAAATCCTCCTCTTACATAAAAGAAGAAATCCTCTGTAACCAAATATAAAATCCACATCCACCCCCAGCCTGGGCACGAACCCTGCATACTCTTGAGTATAAATCCCCTGTTCTCAAGTGAAAAGAGGCTGCATGCTGCTAGTGTTCCAGGACCATCACCAGGAACAGTGATATATTTTCCAGGTTGCAATGAATGGAGTGGAATTTGCAGATGATTGTTTTCTTACATGTCTACCCTTGTCTTTTTACATGGTGAAAATCATGAGTTTTGAAGGGTACTGTTGAAGGATCCTTGTCGAGTTGCTGCATTGCAGGTTATAGATAATTCACATGACTGCCACTGTGTGTTAGTGGTGAAAGGAATGAGGTTTGATAAGGTGCCATTCAAGTGGATTGTTTTGTCCTGGATGGAGTTGAGCTTTTTGTGTATTGTTGGAGGTGCATTCATTCACACAAGTAGAGGGTATACCATTACAGTCCTGAGTTGTGCCTCGTGGATGGTGGACAGACTTCGGGGAGTCAGGGCATGACTTACTTAATGCAGAATTTCCAGCCTCTCATCTACTCTTGTCACAGTTATTACAATCCCCATGAAGGAACTGTAAACTAAAATAATCCCCAAGTGAAGTTATGAAAGAGATTTTGCTTCTTTTTATATAAGTTTAACCACAAATCAGAACCAGTACGAATTCATCATGAATTCACAGGCAAAATTTACTTCAAATAAAAAAGTATATTTTGCATAAATTGTGATACAAATATGTTTTTCACTACCACAAGCATTTCCCCTTCATATGGCACCACCCAGTTCTATAAGATAGTACAAATTTCCACACCCAGCTATGGCATACTCTGGAATTAACTCCTACACCCGGATATGGTGTATTTGGGTATAAAGCAGGAATGTACCCAGGAATAATACCGGGTATATACAATTACAAATCTTGCAAGATCTTCATTGAGAAGCAGTTCTAGGATATAAGGTTACTATGAAGGTCCTACCTTTTCAAACTTGCACCTTGCCTGATCCTGAGGTTAAAAGCGTCACCAGCCACCTCTGTTTAATGAGATGGCCACCTATGGTCCTAAGAACTATGATGACTTGCAGTTTCCATGTCTAGGCATGTACATTTGAGATTCGATTTAATCAAGCGTATAACCAGACAAAGTTGAAAGCACACGGGGTCAGTCCTGGTTTCTGTTCTGAATGATTTATACTATTACTACTTGAAGGCAATTTGCAATAAAAGTGGCTGGACCAGATTTCTGATTATCCTCTTGGAAGGCAACTTGATACTGCAGTTTGTTGCACTGTGTAATTTGTTTGGTTTGCTGAAGAGTATTTCGATGACCCTGCATTGTTTAATTTGATTCAGTTCTTGTCACCTATACTGTCAAGTTCAGCCAAAGCACAGTACTTGCACTATCTCTGTCGAAAACAACCAGCCCTGACAATTAATTATTAGAAGTAGGCATTATGTTCATATGAACTGTACTCTCAATTTGAAGCCCAGATCTGAAGAGTTGAGGCCTTGTAGAGGATTTAGCATGAGTTTGAGAACCTTAAACTTAAGGTCTTGGTAGACCATGAGCTTTGTTATCAAACATCAGAGGTGATCAGTGAAAGAGACTTGCCCTGAGATAAGATATTTTCAGGAGAGTTCAGGATCATTGAGGGTAGAAGATGGGAGTTGGCCAGGCAAATATTGGAACAGTTGAGTGTGGCTCATCGTGCAAATACCATGCGATCCATGTTTGTAAAATCATCACAAAATACATTCTCAGTTTTAAAAGTGTATTTATTTACTCTTAGGATGTGGTCAAGGTTAGCATTTATTGCCGTGTCTCGTTAACGTTGAGGACCTGTTTTTGTGACGGTGCTCCCACATTACTATTATGATATTCAGGATTGTAATCCAGCCACGGTGAAGGGATAGTGATAATGCATTGATTTGAAGACCTTGAAGATGGTGTTCCCATGTACTTGACCTTCTCTGTGTTACAGACTGAGAGTTTAGGAGGTGTTGTTGAAGTAGCTATGACAAGCTGCAAGTGTATCTTATTGATGGTACGCATTTGCAGCCATTGTGCACTGGTGACAGAGGGAGTGAATGACCAAGATGAAGGATGGGCTGCCAAGTGAGCAGTCACTTGTGTCCTGGATGATGTTATGACCCATATAGAGACAGAGGACTTTTAAAATTCCCAGTAATTGACTCAAAAGGATCACAGAACAAAATTTCACACTTTAAAATTTTTACAGTGACAAACGCACTAAAATCAACTAAACATTACAAAGCAACTAATACTCTAAAGTACAGAAATGCTATACTGAAAATCCCACAAAACATTTATACATTGTATTGGACTTAGGGTAAAAATAGTCTTGTGTGTAAAATCTAAAGTTATTTCCTGCTTTAACAGGATTCCTTTTCCTTGTCCCACTGGAGTGAATCTTGTGGTGTCCCTTTAAACAATATCTCCTTTGCTCAACTCTTTTGATTGTAATCAAATTGACTTCCAGTAGCAAAGTACCCATTGCTAATTCTGTGTTCTTCCATGGGTTTGTCTCGCGCTCTCGACTACTACTATCCCTAGACTACACATTTTACCTTGAATTATAGCTACAATTTAAAACATAGCTGTCCAATAAAGTCTGAGCATTGTAAGAATTGTGTTGAGCTTCTTTATTGTTGTGAAACTATATTCATCCAGGTAAGTTGAGAATATTCCATACTTCTGATTTTTACATTTTTGGGTGATGGGAAGCTTTAGGGAGTCAGGAAGTCCAGCAAGTCACTTGCTGCAAAATATCCAGCTGTAGGCTGCTTTTGTAACCACAACATTAATATAAAAACCAAAAGAACTGCGGATGCTGTAAATCAGGATCAAAAACAAATGTGCTGGAAAAGCTCAGCAGGTCTGGCAGCATCTAGGAAGGAAAAAACAGAGTTAATGTTTCGGGTCTGGTGACCTTTTCCCCTGTTTTGAGAAAGGGTCACCGGACCCGAAACGTTTGCTCTGTTTTTTCCTTCACAGATGCTGCCAGACCTGCTGAGCTTTATCAGCACATTTGTTTTTGTTCACAACATTAATATGTCTGTCCCGTTAGGTTTCTGACTGATGGTTATTGGCGTGTAATTGCCACTTGTTAGCACCTTAGACATTACCTGACGTTACTTTGCTGAAGGTCTGAGAGTAGGTTGATGAAGTGATAAATGACTAAATTGGGTTTGGTCTGTTTTTTGTGATCTCAACAAACATGCACAGCGTTCCTCCTTGTTAAACAGGTGCCAGTGTCATAACTGTGCTGGAACAGTTTTGCAGTTGCTTTAGGAAGGGTGAGAAACTTCAGTTATGAAGATAGATTGGAGAAGTTGGGACTGTTTTCTTTGGAGAGAATGTTAGTATGATAGAAGTTTCCAAAGTCATGAGAGGCTGGACGAAGTGGTTAGGGAGAAACTGGACTTTAAAAGGATCAGGAACAATAGAACAAAGCAAATGTGATGTGTGGATTGGTTTGGAATGTGCTGCTTCAAAGTATAGTGGAGGCACATTCGGTTAAGACTTCAACAGGGCATGAGATGATTATTTAAATAGAAACAATATTCAGGGTTATGGGGAAAAGGCAGGAGAATATCAGTCGTACTGCTCATTCAGAGGGCTGGTATGCACATGATGGCTTCCTGCTCCATAGTAATCATGTGAACCAAGATATTGTATCAGTAAGCTCAGCTGTTTTTTATACCATGTTGAGTGAATCAAATTGATTGAAGGCTGACATTTCTGTTGATAGAGACTTCAGACGGGGCCCAAAATTGTTCATCAAATGGAAAGTGATTGTAGATTTTTCAGAATTATCTTTTGTGTTTGTATTGGGTTATGCTATTGTTGAGGCTAGAAATGTTCATAGAGCATTTTCTTTCAGTTAGTATTTAATTGCCCAACAATATTCATTGGATATCGCAACATTGCAGAGTTTTTAATCTGATTCATTGATTGCGGGATTGCTGAGATCTGTCTGAATCATTTTGCTTTTGCAGTTCAGTCATAAGGCTAAGATAGAGATAGTTTAAACTTTGATTACAACCTTAAATCCTTTTGAAGATTGGAGTGGTGCCAGAGTGCTAGAGGATTACAAATGTTAATTATTTAGAAAGG